TTTGCACATTCCCTTCCACCCTGCAGTGCCCTGTAGTGGCTGCCTGCCAATCCCGACGGCTTTAGGCTGTGCTCTCCGAGTCTCTGTGTAACTCTTTAGAGCTCTGTGCAACTCTTTAGAGCTCTGTGCAACTCTTTAGAGCTCTGTGCAACTCTTTAGAGCTCTGTGCAACTCTTTAGGGCTCTGCAACTCCGCGGGCCTCTGTATAACTGCAAGGTACTGCAACTTCCGCCACGGCCGACCATTTTGGGCCGTGGTTGTCCCGGTAACGGAGCTCCCTAGCTCAACGGGGCCTTGCCAGCTGAAATAAATCCCAAGTCCGAGGAGTGAACACGTTGCTGGAATCGACGAACGTTGTTTAAAATTGCTTTTAATGTTTAGCTAAGTTTGATGTTGTTTTTGCTGCTTTTATGATTTTATGTAAAGTGTCTTTGAGTATTCAGAAAAGCGCTCAACAAATAAAATGTATTAAGAGCTTGGGGATGAGAGGCGACGGGATAATCCCAAAGCGGATCGTTGGTGCGAGGGAAGAAGCGGAGAGAGAAGCGTTGTGACAGGCAGCGTGGCGAGTGAGTGGTGCAGTGAGCAGGTGGGTAGGTGAGTTGGTGGGTGAGCGAGTCTGTTGTTTTGACACAATAGCAAGCGGAGCGTCGGCTGGCTCTAACGCAAAGGGTTGGCACAGAGGCGAGCACGGCTGGTGCATCTGCCAGTCACCTTAGTCAGTCAACCCATGGCCACCTGGGTTTGTTCCGTGACCGACCAACGGCCCTTCGACACTTAACGTGGCCTGAAAGTGCACCCATCACGGCACAAGCGCCGTGGTGACATAACCGCCACTTGGTGGTTGTTGTTGTTGTGACCTGCAGTGTGGTGGTGGTTAAACACGGTGTGGTGGATGAAACGAAACACTCCAATGGTCTGGTACAGATCGAGTCGCCAGCACGGATGGTGGAATCAACGCATTAAGTAACCACGGGAGGTGGTCATCACGGCAGTCGCGATAGAGGAGGTTTTTTGCCGCTCGACTTCTATTTAATTAAAAAGCCGCTGATTTAGTCAACTTTCTTCGACGCCTTTCAGCTACGCGCGGAGTGAAGTGCGACCGATGTAGTACTGTATAGGATAACGACGTCGGCCTTCCTGCCACGGCTGTACGCTCACGAGATGGGCTCGTTGCCCGAAACTTTACGCACTTGCTCGCTATGTTTCCCGTGTCCGTCGGCGGTACATGTGTGCGCCACAGTGGCTAGGAGATGTTAACTACCTCGCCTGGTATACAGGAGTTCGTGGGTTCGATCCCGACCCTGACGCCTGCTGTATATTTGGAGTTTAAATGTCTCTCTCCCTGTGATCGTGTAGATTTTTCTCCGGGTCCTCTGGTTTTTTCCCTCCACCTTTAGTTGAGAGTATTTGGCCGCGATAAATTTCCACATGATGAGCCACTTTGTCGAGCTCTCATTTGTGGCCAGGTCGCTTATGGAAAAGAGCTACATAGTTCAGTGGGCCTTACCCGGTAAAATAAAGAATAGTTTGTAGAGTTTAGTTTAGGCTGGCTGTCAGCTCGAAACGTTGCACGCTCGCTCGCTCGCTACGTTTCCCGTGTCGAACCGCGGCGAACTGTGACCAAGGGGAGGGAGGGGCAGGCAGAGTTGTTTTTTTGCACAGAGTGCTCGTGGAGTCGCTTGGTTACATCTCTCGGTTTTATTTGGCAAAATAATTTGGCGACGTTTCTGCTGCTGCTGCGTCGGCAGCGGTGCACAGGCGCTAAACAACAAACGCCACGTTCGTCAACAGCGGCGCGTAGAGAGGCCGGCGCCGCTGCCACCGCCACCGGAGATACGGAGCGAACAATAGCTGGAGACCGCACCACACCCCCATGGTGCCCTGGCAACAATTACATTCTCGCAATGTTTCCCAGTGACCAGGTCTCACTTTTTGCGTATGAACAGTCATCCGCCCATCGGTAGGTAATGAGTAAGGGACACGTTCTGCTTTTTTTGTTAATTAAATGAGTTTATGCATAATTCAGTGCAGAACTTTTGAAGGGCTTGTCTGCCAGGTCGCTTATGGAAAAGAGCTACATAGCTCAGTGGGCCTCACCTGGTAAAATAAATTAGCGTTTTATAATTAGTTTATAGTTACCTAATGTCTGCCAGTGGGTGGTCGGTCATCATCATGTTAACATAAGACCGTTCAACAAAAATAGGTTTTCACCCTTTGTAAGGAATCAAGTCTCTATGAACCACACGAACTTGTGGTGAACATGCAAACAAACATGCTCTGATAATATATACATTGCCTTTGAAACTGATTGACCTACAACATCTTAACACCTGTTTTTTTTTGCCAGAAAGGGTAAAACCTATTCTTAATTTTATACTTTGATACTGGTAAAAAAAGGCCCCGTGATATGCGACCGTTTACCTGGAGACAGTGTCGACGTTTCATTCCTCGCAGCCCCCACCCCCCCCTCGTGGCCTGTACAGTGCAGTCTCCTGATCATATCTGGATTCGCGTTGGCGACGTCCGTTTTTGCCGAGTCGACGGTGTCGGTTGCGTTCAAGGTGACGTGAAAACGTGTAACAGGTGGAGGCGCCGCGTCCAGAACGAGCCCCTCGTTCGAGACCCAAACGCCGCGCCTTCTCCTGGCTTTTTGACGTTCCTGCTGTGACCACCAACCGCATCGGAACATTACCAGGCCAATGCGCACATCTCCTACGCGGCGAGTACATGCACGGCGATTGTGGCCATGCGACCCAAACTATGGACCAGACAGTAAATCCAGTGGTCTGTGCTCCTCCCAACAGAGGAGGAGGAACAGCAAAACGACACTCTCTCTCTCGCTCTGATGAAGCCCTCTCTATATGGCCAGTAACAGACCTCGACATTGGCACCTGGCTTCCTGAAGCTATTGCCAGTCTTAACGTGCCCCTTGAGACCATTTCATTGATATTTACCAGAGAAAGGACGTGGAATTTATTATTTTGAACGTCGGGTCCAATTTTCAAAGCTTGAAATTTCAGCATTGCCGCCACCACCGCCATCTCCCCGCCCTCCCCGGGAGGTTGCTATGGCTCTGTGTATTTATTTTATGTGGGGGTAGCGGCCTGTGAAGAGGGAACCGCCCGCTCTCCTCCTCCTTCTCATGCAGGACCGGCCGACTTGAGCTCAAGTTGTTTTCTTTTAATGGTGCGGACTCCACGTCGGGTTTCAAATGAGTGCGGGCGCGGCCGGGGGGAGCGGCTCGGCCTCGTGGGAGCCCCAGGACGAGCGCGGGAAAACAATGACGACCATGAGCCCGGCGAGCGCTTCGTCCGCATGCCCGAGGGCAACATGCGTGGTGTTGGCGTGCGTGGCGTTGACGTGCGTGGTGTTGGCGTGCGTGGCGTTGACGTGCGTGGAGTGACGTGCGTGGTGCGACTGTCCCGGCTATTCGTCTGAGAAATGGTGGCAGAGAGATGGTCAGCGGCACACTAATCCACTTGCAATCCAGAGGTCGCTGCCGGTTCGATTCAGTCGCCCAGCACCGCGGTTGTAACAATGGGGGAGAATTTCTCGAAGCCTTCTCCGCCTCCGCCCACTCAGCTGGGTAGACGGGGTCAACCGCAGTTGGTCTGTGATCCTCCATAATACAGGTTTTTTTTTGGGTTAGATCGTGTAAATATAAATGTGTAAATATAAGTGTCGTCATTAAACCCGTCTGTGATCAACAGGTTGTGAGCGACTCTTGTCCACCTCTTCCCAGACGTCTGGTCAGCGTGGAAGAGTAGACCAAATACTACTCCCTGGCATGAGCAAGCGAACAATAACAGGGTCAGTTTAACACATAGACTTTCGCGACCAATATTATTCATAATAAACGTTTTTGGGTTATAACGCGATCTAACCCAAAAACGTTTATTATGAATAACAGGGTCGTCAGCCGAGAAAAAGAGGGCATGTCTAACCACGCGGTGACTTTTACCGCTTTGCTGTTTGTGCGTTGGTGCATGCTAATCAGCGTATTCCTGACGTGCGCAACCGGTAGTGCTGAATGTGGTTGTCTCTGAACAGCCCTCCTTGGCGGTTCCTCGGCCGAACGTTGGTCGAGCACAGAGACCCCCCCCCCCCTCTCTCCCTCTCTCCGGTGTCGTTTGGCTGAGCGAGCCAAGGAAAATTAAGGTCCCGCACTCCCGGCCGGAGTGCGTGGGTGAGCGGCCGACTCGGTGTTTTGCTGCGGAACGTTCTGTCCTTTGGAGGGACGCTGTCTCCCGCACACGCATGCGCACGCGCGTGCATGCACGCGCGTGTGCTCGCGTGCACGGAGATGGAAGTCTCCGTTGCCAAGGGAGACCTGGGGTGGAAACGGAGCGACAAAAATAGTGATTTTTTTTTTTGCTCAACCGAGCGTCGAGACGGTGCTCACCTGTTTACAGCGATGGAAATTGCACATTCCACATTACTATGGTGGGAGCAAGTTTCTCCACTGTTGACCTCCCCACAAAGTGGTATATCATCAACCTCGAAGTAATGGTGGGCTGAGTCAACCCCCCCCCAGTCCGTGAGTTAAGATACAAATTGCAGCTCTGAGTAATTGTAATTCATCACAATGCCACCATCTCTACCCTCTTCCTCGTCCTCCTCTTGTCTCCTCCACTTCTACTCCCCTCATTCTGTTTGCCCTCCTCATCCTCTTCATCCTCTTCATCCTGTCTCCTCCCCGCCTTGCTCACCCTGTCTCCTCCTCAGATCTTCTCCCCGGGTTCCCCTAATTCCGACTTTTGTCCGCCGCTCGCCGTCCCTCCCTCTCTCTCCGGAGGCCCCTCGTGTCCCGGCTCATCAGCCCGGGCCGCGCACAGCTTCTGACAGAGTCCTTGAGATGCGGCCTTGGCACGGGCGTGGAGAGAGAGAGGGAGGGAGAGAGAGAGAGAGAGAGCGCGGGAGAACGAACGACCTCTGTTTGTCGGGACGCCCGTGTGGTTTGAGATCTCACGCGTGCTTGCGTGCGTGTCCCCTCCCAGGTTCGTGCGGCTCGGCTTGAGAGAAAGAGGGAGCGGCCATCACGGCGCCGCCGTGCGGTGGCTGTTTCTGGCAAGGGCGCGCGCCTGGCAGGCCCCGTGGGTTCGCGCCGGGCAGCAGGGGACGCACGGCCGTTGGAGGTATTTGCGAAAGAAAAAAGAAAAAAAGCGGGGAAGAAAAAAAAAACCCCGTCTTATAAAAACACGAGCCCCGGAGCGCCGCGATTTTAACGGCCGCCATTTACGGTTACGCTCCGCGGAGCCGAGACCCCCGCGGACCGCGGCGCGGCCCTCGGTGGCCGCGGTGGCGGCTCGCCCGGCGGGGGGAGGGAGGGGGGGCAGGATGGGGGGGGGGGCAGGACGACGACGTGGAGGGGGTGCCCGCCCCGCTGCGTTGCAGGCGGGTGCGGGGTAAGAGCGGTTCTGGACGTAGGCTCGGGACGTGGGGGCTGGGAGGTGAACATTTTTTTTGGAGCTCCGCTCAAGAATGCAGACGGCCGTTGCCGGGTTTCCTACTTTCGCTGTTTCGTCCGAACGCGTGGCCGTTTCGTTCCGTCGAAAAATCGTTGGAGGCATGGGCTGGGACGGTTACAAAATTCATACTCGCCGTCGTCCAAATGCATTCCTTTTTTTTGTGACTATTCTGGCAACTGGAATATAAAAACAATAGAATTGCGCCATTTCAGTTGCGGTGTTGTGTTTTAATCCGAAATAATGAGTACGTTGATGTATTCCATCCGGTCGCGGTTATAATTGTGGACGCCACTTCAATGACGGCGCGCGTATGGCACGGTGCGCGGCTGCCTAAACGTAAACAGCCCCCTGCTTCGAGAACTGGGAAGTTGCTCAACTCGCACAAATAAAAATGCACTCGCTCGCGCGCCGCCGCGGTTATCCGGCCGCCTCCTCGACGGAAGCCCGGCACGAGACGGCGATCGCTGTCCCCAAATCAGGGTCTCTTTGTCCGCACGCGATCACTGGCGGCGGCAGCCAAACGAGCGTGTTTACCGCGACGGCAGCTTGGCGCGCGCCCGGGCTCGTTAACCACCGCCACCGCCGTTCGATCGCTCTGTCGTCGGCGGCTGTGGCCCGGGGGGTTGTGTGCTCACGGTCGAGGCTGTAGCCCAGGGGCAGCGTGTGGTGGACGCTGCAGCCCAGGGGCTGGGTGTGCTCACGTTGGAGGCTATGCCGAGGGGCTGTGCGTGGTGGAGGCTGTGCCCAGGGGGGGGCTCTACGTGCTCACAGTTGAGGCTGTAGGAGATGGGCGGCCGTGGTCGGGGATGGCATCGGCTGCTGTTGCATCGTCAGCCACCACGGCTTCCCCGCTGTCCCTTTAAAACCCCGTCTGGCCGCCCGGTGCCGGGCCCAGCTTCTACGGTGCTGCTGCGCGCGCAACGAAGTGCGTACCCGCGGGGGACACGTGGACCGAGTGAACGCGCTCGGAATTGTGGGCGTGCGCGGTGTGTGCAACGGCGGTGGCTCACGCGTACACACAGGGCGTACTCGCTGAACCGGTACGCGGCGAGTACGCACACGGCGAGCGCATAGGATGGGAGCGTGTGCACGGGGGTGCTCGGGAGTGCCCGCGCGTACACCCTCCGCGCGCGTACACCCTCCGCGCGCGTACACGCTCCGCGCGCGTACACGCTCCACGCGCGTACACGCTCCACGCGCGTACACGCTCCACGCGCGTACACCCTCCGCGCGCGTACACGCTCCACGCGCGTACACGCTCTGCGCGCGTACACGCTCCACGCGCGTACACGCTCCACGCGCGTACACGCTCTGCGCGCGTACACGCTCCGCGCGCGTACACGCTCCACGCGCGTACACGCTCTGCGCGCGTACACGCTCTGCGCGCGTACACGCTCCGCGCGCGTACACGCTCCGCGCGCGTACACGCTCCACGCGCGTACACGCTCCACGCGCGTACACGCTCTGCGCGCGTACACGCTCTGCGCGCGTACACGCTCCGCGCGCGTACACGCTCCGCGCGCGTACACGCTCCGCGCGCGTACACGCTCCGCATTCCTGCTGCTCAGTGCCAGCGCCGCTCGGCTCGGGCACCACTCTGTAATTTCACACCACAATGAGCTCAGCAGCCGCACCGCGTCCACCACGCGGGGTGGGGCAGGGTGGGGGGGGGGTGGGTGCTTTGGGGGGGGGGGGGGGCGGGGTTTACCAGATTCACACGACGCTCGCGCCGCTCACGCACACGTGTTATTCGCACGCGTGTTTACACGCGTGCGAATAACACGCGCATGCACATCCCCCACAATGGCAAATTTTCTCCTTCGGCCTACGTTACCTTGGGGTCGAGCAGCGGACCGTTGGGGGCTTGTTGCGGACTTTCGCGGTTCAAACTCGGCGGCAGCCCCGGTTAATGCCGCGTCACACGTGCGCCGTCTGCTCCGCAGTGGACGCCAAAGTTCCCGTAGTGTTATTCAGACGGCCGTGTTTACCGTTGTCACGGTGTTAAGTTGCCAAATTCTTGTAAATGACCATCAAATTATTTAATTGGGTAAAAATCATTCGGCCACATCTGCTCGCACCCCCCTTTTCCCCTCCCCGCCCGCCCCCCCTCCCCCCCCCCCCCCACGGCCTCGCCGCTACAAGAGCGATGCGAGTGCCAAACGTCCCCGGCGGTTTGATTTCGCGATCCGTCGTCGCATAGTCGCATAGTCCGCCTCGGCCACAATGGACCGAGTGTTCAGGCGGGGCCGCGGGCGCCGAACGCTCCGCTTGGGAAACAACGCGTCGCCCCGTGCCGCCTGACACGCCATCACGTGCTTTACCAAAAACGATGGAGACCCCCCCCTCCACTGCCGCCCCCGCCCCCCCGAACCAATCGTTAACCTCCCCGGTGCCCGGCTCTGCCCGCACGCCGGGTGGCGCGGGGAACAATGGGCGCTCTCACGGGAAGCCTTTCCGCTTCTCAGCGTTCTCGAAGCGTCGACGTTGCTCGGCGCTCCCCGTGCCGCGGGTGTGCGTGCGCTTGGACGTGGGCGCGGGGGTGTCAGGATGCAGATTGCCGTGGGTGTCAGTGTGCGTTACAACACGGGCACGTGAGTGGTTGAGCACGCTGCAACGCGGGAGTTGTGGGTGTTAGAACGCGGGCGTGTTAGGGGGGGCGTTAGAACGCGCACACGACGGGTGTTGTGGTTCGTTATCACGTGGGTGTTGGATCAGGTGAGAATGCGGACATGTGGGTGTTAACGTGCGTGAGAATGCGGGCATGTGGGTGTTGAAGCACGTTAAAACGCGGGCGCCGTGGGTGTCGGGGTCGCGTTATGCACGTTGAACTTCTTTCGCACCGTACGTAGCCAACCGTGCTAATCGGAGGTGCGGGAACGCGGGCACGGGTGTGCAATGAAACTGCTCTGGGCTGAAGGTGGGTTGTGGCGACGCAGGTGTGTGACGCAGGTGTGTGACGCAGGTGTGTGACGCAGGTGTGTGACGCAGGTGTGTGACGCAGGTGTGTGACGCAGGTGTGTGACGCAGCTGTGTGACGCTTGTACGCCACGTCAAGCAGCGCACGCCTCTTTACATTGGCCCAAGCGGCTGCGCGTTCGGCGCTCGTCGCGGACGTTGATGGTCCGACTCGGCCAGGCCGCCCTGGTTAACACCGCGGGCGTATTGGTCCGCTCGGACAAATCGCTTTTGACAACCGCGTCGAGTTGCAGTGCCGTCGCCGCACGGCTGCCCACGAGGACGTTCAGCGGGTTTGACGACAGCGACCCGCGGGGCCAGGAAGGGGTTGTCGCCGCTGCTGTCGGGGGGTGCCGAGACCCGATTCTACATACCCTGAACTTAAACTAAACTATTAACTAAGCAATTTTATCTCACCAGGTGAGCCCCATTGAGCTGTACAGCTCTTTTTCAAAGGCGACCTGGCAATCACAAATGATAGCTCATTTGTGATTTGTTAAGTGTGGCGGCTTATCGCATGGAAATTTATAGCAGCAGCCAAATACTCTAAATGCGTGCCGTTGATTCTGAATGTGGTGGGAAAAATCGGAGGACTTGGAGGAAAATCCACGCGATCACGGGAGGAGAGAGAGAGAGAGAGAGACAAACTCCAAATATACAACAGGCGTCGGGGTCGGGATCGAACCCACGACCTCCTACATACCCGGCGAGGGAGTTAACATCCCGCCACCGCGGCACCCCTCCCCCACTCAGGAAGTCAGTTTGCGAGAGTGAAGTCGGTGAAACCTGTCCAGGGAGCTCGTAGCTGTGGACGTTCCAAACGCGGTCCAATCGGTATCTTGTCGGATGCTCACTGCGGGGCGGTCAAGAAGTGTTTCTGCCATTTGTCTCCGTGATAGCTGAGCACAGGCCTGAAGCCCCCCCCTCCCCCCCCCCCCCCCCCAAAAAAAAAAAAACCTCAAGCGATCGGCAACAAGCGGCGCTAATTGGCACCGGTGCGGCTCAAAAGGGGCGCGCTGCCCGCAGCGAGCTTGCAAGCTAAAACGTTCGCAAAGGACGTAGAGTCGGTCCCAGCCAGGTCTGTTGATGCCACCACCCCTCGCCGTCGCCCCCTTCCCCCTGCCAGACCCCCCACGTCCTGGCCCCTTGACTCGTCCCGCTCGTTGAGTTTCGCGCCGTGGATTTTTTTAACCTTGCCCCCCCCACCCCCCACACCCGCCCCCCCCCCCCCCCAATATTATGCAGCTCCCCCTTCCCGAAGGCCCCGCCACCATTTCCCGTGTCCGAGAAGTAACGCTCATTACGCGACACGGCGACGGTAACCCCCTGTCGGTGACTCCACGCCCCCAGAGGACCCCCTCGTGCCATACTTCCCACCGCCCCGCCGCCCCCTCCCGAGCCCCCACCGCTGCCCACGTCCTCAATGTCAGCCCAAGGTGAATAGCGGCGCCGCGGCGATCGCGCTTGCCAGCTCGCGCGCTGACGCCGCCGCCGCCGCCGTTACCGCCGCCCTCCTCGCCCTGCCTCCATAATTTATACGCGGCACGGCGCGCCGGACCGCTGCGGCAGTGCGGGGAGGAGAGAGAGACGCCGCACATTTTAAAGAGAGACCCGGCGGCCGTGACAGTCGCGCCGCGCTGCTCGTTTCAGATTTTCCACTCCCGGCGTCGTCTAATTTTAATTCCCGCTCGCCCGCCCGCCCGCCCGCCCGC